GCTTTACACAATTGATGTGTGTATGGATTGTGATAAGAGTTGTATGAGCCCCTAATAAAATGATTTTTTTAAAAAAAAGAAATCTTCTCTGACTTGTTACTCCACCCTCCTAAAGTGACTTGCATTATCCTTACTTGTCTCTCTTGTTTGGGGCTCACTTCCCTGCCCTGCTTTTGTACTTAAGACTAAATTTCTAGAATCCAGAATCATGCTTGGTACTGTGTGCGTCTGTTTTCACTGCACTTAAAACACACAGATGATGCTAATATCGATGGCCAACTGCTGGTGGAAGTCCCAACACTTCCTTGCTTGTTGACCCCGGCATGCTTTATCAAAGCCTTGCAGGGTCCTGGCACACAGAGCGATGGTGTCTGTCCAGTGCATCCATGTCCTGGATGCTCAGTCAGTCCCTTTAACTGGAGCCACTCTCTATGGTCCTTAGGGGCACACCTGGGTTGGTGACTAATGGAACGATGTTTTGTTTTGGGTTCACCCGGCTACCCTAACCTTCAGCTCACTAATTGGACACCATAGGGTTCTTGAAGACCATCAAGTTTAAAGAATCCATATGTATCTTGTTCTTTTTGCCATAAAGCCTCAAATGAAGTCTCCTTTTTGTAGAGAAGGTATATGCTCTACTAAGAGCTAATCTGGGACTTTCCCCTAAATTTTAGGCAAATGTAGTTTGAGGTAAATCTATTCCCTGATGCCCTGCGCTTTTACAAAATATAAATTATAATTGTATTATATATTTCTTTTGAGCTGATCTTAAAAGTATCTGTGTGCAGCAGAAGGAGCCTTGGTGCCATAGCGTTTACAAGTTGGGCCGCTAACTGCAAGGTCAGCAGTTTGAAACCACCAGCCACTCTACAGCTGAAAGATGGAACTTTCTACTCCCGTGAAGAGTTACTGTTTTGGAAACTCACAGGAGCAGTTCTACCCTGTCCTGTGGGGTTGGCATCGAGGTAGCTGTGAGTTTGGTTTTGATGTGTAGCAGGCATTGTTAGTTGACTTTTAAGATCTACTCTCCCTTTACCCCTTACTTTGTTTTGTTTTTTAACCTAGGCATCAAAAACCAAACAAACAAATCAAACTCACTGCCATCAAGTTGATTCCAACTTATCACAGTCCGATATGACAAAGTGAAAATAACCCTGTGGGTTTCCAAAACTACACCTTTTGAAGTATAGACAGCCCATCCATTTTGTCAAGGGTCTCCCTCTTTTTAGAGGCCTCCATACTTTACCAAGCATGATGGCCTGATCCTAACTGATGCCCTTTCCTGGCACGATCCCACAAAGATGATGCTAATGAAGGCATGATCCTAGCGCAGGGAATGTTTAGTCAGCCGGAGGAAGAAGATGGTGTTTATTGTGTGTCAGTTTATTCTGACTTGTAGCGACCCTGTCAGGACTGTGGAGAACTGCCCCATAGGGCGTTCCAAGCTGTCATCTTCATGCGAGCAGATCACCAGGTCTTTACTCCTGACGAGCTGCTGGTAGATTTAAACCACTGGCATTTCTGTTAGCAGCTTAACCACCAGGGCTCTTTGAAGAACAAGGAACAAGGAGAGAACATTTCTAGCAAGTTCTCTACAATTTCACTCAGCAGTCACTTCTAAGCGACGGACTCTCCCCCTATTTTCTAACCGCTATGTCTGACCGATGCCCGGGTGGCTCTTTAGAGCTCTAAGTTGTCTTTGAGGATCAGCCAACTGCTAACTGAAAGATTGGCAGTTTAAGCCTGCAGAGGCACCTGGTGGAATATTATAATGACATGTACAAAGACCTGGAGTTAGAAACGGACAAGGAGAACATGCTCAGCCTATCTTAACATCAATACCAGCTAATATCACACGCCTCACCTAAGAGAAGCAGTTCTAGCCATCACATTAGGGGTGGGTTAATTAAATGTTTGACCAGTATGGTCTTCAAATGATGTTATAAAGATCCAAATGTGCCTTGGCAGAAAAAAAAGGTTCCCCATCCCTGTCTTCAGCTATAAGACCTTTAAAATTTTTTCAAGTCTTGAGTTGAAAGGTTGAAGGATCCTATGGACAAATTACTGACCCATGCAGGCAGCATCAAAAGTAGATGGAGAGACTATACAATCGCAGTTCCAAAAAGAATTGGTCACTGCTTAACCATTTTAAGAGGCAGCATATGATCAAGAACCAGTTGTACTGAGAGCAAAGCACAAGCTGATGGAAGTCCTTAGTGAAAAACAAGATTCCAGGAGTGGACAGGTAGCCCTGCCTGGTGGTGCAGTGGTTATGTGTTGGGCTGCTACCTCCAGGGTCAGCAGTGTGAAACCACCAGCGGCTCCACAGGAGATAGACAAAGCTTTCCACTCTCA